GCGGAGATGCGGAATTCGTTGCCGATACCGCAGCTCGCAAGCTGATAACGGGGAGGGACCCACCTGCGGTGCTGTGGGTCCCGCCAGCCCTGGCCTTGCACCGGGGAGCCCTTGAGGGCTTGGTGGGTCTGTCCTCCGAGCGTTCCTTCTTGGTGTTTCTCCGTAGAGCATCCTCGTTACGTGGACGAAGGGATTCAAATGCAGCAGCGTGGAGGGGAAAGATGTGGTGTCGATGCTGCGCAAGTCCATCAAGAAAAGAGGGGTAAGAGGTTGGGCAGGTCTGTCACCTCCTGGGGCGGTGGGACGGGGGCACACGGGTCCCTGGGACAGGGTACTTAAGGCTCCGCATCTTGGCTCCCCCGTGACAGCAGAGATGTTTCGGTCTGTTTTGGCCGCGCTGACTCAATCTCTCTCCTCTCCGCCGTCTCAGGACTTCGACATCGACATCGTGGCCGTGGTGAACGACACCGTTGGGACCATGATGACCTGCGGCTACGACGATCATAACTGTGAAGTTGGCCTCATCGTTGGTGAGCTGCAGCGCGGGGGGAGAATTGGGGTCCATCTCCTCACAAACTCCAGAAGGAGATCACGTTTCTTGCAGGTTTCAGGGTCTTTGGGGGGAAAAAGAAAGGGGATAACCACGTGAGAAAACCAGCATTGCCCGGTGTTTGTTTTCTTCCATCTTCGCTTTCTGTGGTGCATTTGGCTGTTGCTAATTATGGGGAATAAGGGAAAAGCAGCGTCCTCGCTCACCGCCTCCCTGTGCTTCGTTCAGGTACCGGTACCAACGCCTGTTACATGGAGGAGATGAGGCACATTGACCTGGTGGAAGGGGACGAAGGTCGGATGTGCATCAACATGGAGTGGGGGGCCTTCGGTGATGACGGCGTGCTCAACGACATCCGGACGGAGTTCGACCGCGAGATAGACATGGGCTCGCTCAACCCCGGCAAACAATTGTAAGCAGATTCTTGGCTTCGGCTCAGGCTCGGGGTTTGCTCTGCATTGTCCGTACTCCCATTGCGCTGGCGTTAGTGGGGCCAAAGAGGTCGTCCTAGTTAACTAGGTCACCGCGTCCTCCGTCGTGCCGGCTACACCAATGCAAATAGGGGCTGTATCACAAATTTGGGTTTGGTACACCCAACGGGACCGCTCAACACCCGCTTCCCTCATGAGCCTTTCACGTGGATGTGTTGATTGCCGTTTCTTTCCCCGGCCGATGAAGTTATCTGCCAGCCAAGGCAAACACCACCACCTAATGTCCACATCCAAGTCCTACAGATCTCCCATTCCCCAAATGGCTTCTGGCAGCATGGGCGGGATTTGGGGGGGGTCTCCGCAAATTGACAGACCCCCTTCAAGTTCTCCTTGCAGAATGATGGTTATGTCAACATGGCTTTATTTTCTCAGTGATGGGATAAACTACTCTGGAAAGAGATTGCCTAGATTGCATTTGGACCTGGAAGGCTACCGAGTGTTTTTAAGGTCAACCTGTGGCCACCTCACGGCACACGTAGCCAAACAAACACGTCTTGTGCTTCCCCCGTCGGCAGGTTTGAGAAGATGATCAGCGGGATGTACATGGGAGAGCTGGTCAGACTCATCCTGGTGAAGATGGCCAAGGAAGGGCTCTTGTTTGGAGGAAAGCTCACACCAGATCTGCTCACTACCGGCCACTTTGAGACTAGATACGTCTCTGCTATTGAGAAGTAAGTAGGATCCGGATGGTTTCCGGGGGTCCCAGCCCATCTCCTGACATCTGTGCTGGGGGAAAACAGGACCCGTCACAGGGCTATCCGCTGAGCGAACCGGGACACTTCAGATGGCGAAAGTTGGATTTCCAGGCATGAATCCTTTTTTGTTCTTTGATGTGCAGGGAGAAAGAAGGGCTGCAGAAAGCCCACGAGATCCTCACCAAGCTGGGCCTGGAGCCATCTCATGAAGACTGTGTGGCCATCCACCGCATCTGCCAGATCGTCTCCACCCGCTCGGCCAACCTGTGCGGGGCCACCCTGGCAGCCGTGCTGCGACGCATCAAGGAGAACAAGGGGGTGGACCGGCTGCGGTCCACGGTCGGCGTGGATGGCTCCGTCTACAAGAAGCACCCTCAGTGAGTCCATGAGGATAGGCAAGGCTGGTGGGGAGAAGAGTGAGAGAGCACAAATCTGCTCCTGCCAGCAGGGGATAAAGCTTGGCACAAGCAGAGCATCTCCAAATATTCCCCTGGGCACCTCCGTTCGGATCCCAAAGGGGCCCCACTCATTTCCAATCCCAGAGGGTCACGTCACCCGTGGTGGCCTACTCAGGTCCTCTTTCCTCCTCCGTAGCTTTGCCCGGCGCCTCCATAAGACAGTGCGGAAGCTGCTGCCGGACTGCGAGATCCGTTTCGTGAGGTCAGAAGATGGAAGCGGCAAAGGGGCGGCCATGGTGACGGCGGTGGCCTACAGACTGGCCGCCCAGCACAAGGCACGGCAGAAGATTTTGGAGGCGCTCAAGCTGAGCCATGAGCAGCTCCTGGAGGTGAAGCAAAGGATGAGGATAGAGATGGAGAAGGGGCTGGGCAAGGAGACGCACGCAGAGGCAACGGTGAAAATGCTGCCCACCTACGTGTGCTCAACTCCAGATGGGACAGGTGAGGTACCATATGTATAAGCCCACGTACGTCCCGCGTAGGGCGAAGAGCCAGCATCACCGCTCCCAACATCTGCACCGCTTAGGGAAGGGCTGGGACCTTTGCCATGGCCAGTTCCCTCTTCGTGGTGGGAGCGGCACAAAGCTTTTTAACCTCCAGTATGATACTGGGAAAAGCGGCTGAGCCTCCAGGACGTTCTGCACTTGACTTAACACAAAGCCTGGCTTTCGCTGTGGTTTTTGCCACCGCAGGTTCCTCACCACCATTGTCCTGGGTTGCGCTCCCAGTTCCGTCGGTGGCTTGGGTGTGCGCCTGCCCCTTGGCTTGAAAACCCGTGATCTCCCCGAGTCTGGAGCAAACCTCTCCATCCATTGCCTTCCTACCTGCACCTGCTGATCCCCATTCCCAGCCACGGCTTGGTTTCTGGTCCTCTCCCAGGAAGAGGGCAGATTCGGATCAGCTTTGTGCCAGGTTCACGATGCCCCTTGTCTCCTAACGATTCTCTCTTGGGTTTCAGAAAAAGGAGATTTCCTCGCCCTGGACCTGGGAGGTACCAATTTCCGTGTGCTGCTGGTGCGCGTGAGGAACGGGATGAGGCGCGGCGTGGAGATGCACAACAAGATCTACTCCATCCCGGTGGAGATCATGCAGGGGACGGGAGAGGAGGTGAGGATGGGCAGCTGGAGGTGGAAAACCGGGGCATCTTCTCTGGGGTGGCAGCAGAAGTGGCCGGCAGTAGTGCTGGGTGACCTCAGGAGCTGTTTTTTTGCCTTGCTCTGCTCTCCAGGGTGCAAATCCAGGAGGGTGGAGAAGGCTGGTGCTCTCCTGCCTTCAGAGCAGAGTGTTCTGCCCAAGGCTCTCGAGTTTGAAGTGTGCTTTAGGAAGCTTGAAACTGGTTTTTAGGTTAGAAATGGTGTTATTCCCAGACATCACTGAACCTCCCTGAATCCCACACACTCCACGAGGGCAGATAAGCATCATCCCGGTTTCCCAGATAGAGAAACCACAACACAAGCAGTAAGAGACGTCTCCGGAGTCTTATTTGCAGATGGAAAGACTTTTGCAAACCACTCCAGGCAGTGCTCGGGGACCAGGAGTATTTCTAGCAGGAGCCGAGGCAGATGGGCTCTGGGAACACCTTGCAGAGGGACCGGATCCCCGTGTCACCCTTGGGAAGCCGGTCACCTCCCTGCTAGCCCCTCCATCCCTTCTGGGTGCAGTACGGGACCTGCAAGGTGGAGGTATCACAGTGATACGACCGCCTTGTCGGTGGGAAAGAGGAGGAAAAAGGAGCCGTTTTGGGCTTGCTCGCCTCACGCGGCGCGGCGGAGCGGCACGCTGGGCTGCTCAAAGCCCCGTTGGCTTGGGAATGGATCAACGTCTCCAGTAGGTCAGGCAGGCTGGCATCCAGCCGAGTTTCTTGCCGTGAGGGTAACTTCTTGGCTTTGTGCACCCAGCTCTTTGACCACATCGTCCACTGCATCTCCGACTTCCTGGAATACATGGGAATGAAGGGTGTATCGCTCCCGCTGGGATTCACATTCTCCTTTCCTTGCCAGCAGACCAACCTGGATGAGGTAACCCCAACCCACCTCGTAGCATGCATGTCTGATCCCCAGGCTGGCTGAAAAGCCACGGCACGCTGGAACCTCTGCGTACCAGCATCAACGACCACGTGGCAGGTCAGATAGAGCCCCAAGAGAGGGGAAGGCAGCGGCTCGGAGCTGCCGGTGTTTCTGAAAAGCTGCATCAAAGCAAATGCAGATCCCTTGAGCTCTAGAGACAACCCAGTTGAGGCATCCTCCACGCGTGAGGACCTGACCTCCATGTGCCCACCGAGAGCTGGTGGACGTGGGGTTGCTGTCCCTCCCGCCTGGGTGATTTACCGCAGGGTATTTCCACAACAGGGGATTCTCCTGAAGTGGACAAAAGGTTTCAAGGCGACCGGCTGCGAAGGAGAAGACGTGGTGAACCTGCTGAAGGAGGCAATTCACAGGAGAGAGGTGAGCGTCCATGTAGCTGTGAGAAGCCGGCTGCTTGCTCCCACACCCTGGCTGTCTTTGGCATCTTTAATTGGCCTGTAAAGCAAATTAATGGGCTGAGCGCAGGGCTAATGAGTGTCTGAATTTTAACAACCACCCTTAGTCATCACTAGAGGTTGGATTTTCAGACCCCGGAGCTAAGAGGTGGCTTCTGGCCAAGGCTGGAGCAGACTTGTCTCGCCGTGAGTTAGGGAGACACCGTGCTCGTTTCCTGGGTGCAGACCACCCAAAGCTCCTGCCCTGGGGGCTGCTGCTGGCAGGGCTGTCCCAGCGTGCCAGCTCCTCTGCAGTTGTGTCTCGCTGGAGGTGTCTTGAGGTTTGAGCGGCCACCTGCAGACACGTGGGGCTGCAGGAGCTCCGTGGGTGACTGGAGGACTCCCATGCTCAGCAGACAGGTCCTTTCCTAGGAATGTCCTCCAGGAATAACCCATGCAATCCCATCCCTCTGCAGGAATTTGACCTGGACGTGGTCGCGGTGGTAAATGACACAGTTGGCACCATGATGACCTGCGGGTATGAAGATCCATATTGCGAAGTTGGACTGATAGTCGGTGAGGACTGAAACTTTCTTATGGAGTTCCTGTGGAGTTCTAAGTCAACCTGCCCCCGTGGGGTGCTCCTGGCTGCAGGAGGTGTCCGAGGGCTTCTCCAATGGCTCCGTTGAAAGATGCTTCTCTCTTCTGCAGGCACAGGCAGCAACGCCTGTTACATGGAGGAGATGAGGAACGTGGAGCTGGTGGAAGGGGAGGAGGGCAGGATGTGCGTCAATATGGAGTGGGGGGCGTTTGGTGACAACGGGTGCTTGGATGACATACGGACGGAGTTTGACATGGCGGTGGATGAGCTGTCTCTCAACCCTGGGAAGCAAAGGTGCGTGGTGGCTTTGGGGGGCTGGGGAGGGACCCCCGATGAGGCTGGGTGTCCAGGGACAGTTCAGAGCTGCCCCACCAGCCTCTTGGTGGAGCATCAGGGGACGATGAGCAGGGCAGAGTCTGGCTTTGCAACACACCGGTGTGTCCCTTGTCCCCTGCCCGCAGGGTGGGGACCGTGCCGCTAGACTTGCTCCAGGGTGTCAGGCCAGGGGGTTGTGACAAAGGCAGAGCTGGGATCCCGATCCAGAACCCAGTGTCCCTTCTTGTCCTGATGTCCAGCCTTGCCCTCTCCGTCCCAGGTTTGAGAAGATGATCAGCGGGATGTACCTGGGAGAGATCGTCCGAAACATCCTGATGGATTTCACCAAGCGAGGGCTGCTCTTCCGGGGACGGATCTCAGAGAGGCTGAAGACCAGAGGGATCTTTGAGACCAAGTTCCTGTCCCAGATAGAAAGGTGAGGTCCAACAGGCAGGGGGAGCACCTTACAGCTGCAGGTCAGAGCAGAGATGTAGTTGGGGGAAAGCGTTCCCAGGGCTTGCAGGAGAATTCCCACCCAGGAGCCAAGATGACATAGGGTGGTGCAACACGGATAAATCAGCAAAATCCACGTGGTTCTGACAGCGCCGGTGTTGAGAGACAAGGAAAGTGGCTGGGGTCGGCAACACAGACGCCTCTTTATCCTCTGCCCCGGACAGAGAGGGGCCACAGATTAAATAGCTGTCATGCTCTAAGTCAACGGCTTTGTCCTGAAATAGCCTCACTGATTAGGATGTGACATCAAAGCCACATCCAGGTCTGCAAGCTGAAGTTAGAGGGGAGCTGTAGAGTCCCTCCAGCCAGTGTCACCCAAGCCACAAGTCCCTGGGATGTAGATAGGAAAGGGGAAGCCACACATCCAAGTTGCCCCATCTCCTAACGCTGCCTGGTCCTCGTGTCCTCCCCAGCGACTGCCTGGCCCTGCTCCAAGTCCGCTCCATCCTCCAGCATCTCGGCCTGGAGACCACGTGCGACGACAGCATCATCGTGAAGGAGGTGTGCACGGTGGTGGCCCGGCGGGCAGCTCAGCGGGGTGGCAGCCGTGGTGGACAAGATCCGGGAGAACCGCGGGCTGGACTTCCTCAAGGTCACGGTCGGCGTGGATGGGACGCTCTACAAGCTGCACCCTCAGTGAGTTGCTCAGTGGTGTGCGGTTGTCCTCCGAGGAGGCTCACACTGGTGCATCTGCCCATCTGGGGCAGATGGGGTGCTGAGTAAGAGCCAGTGTGGAAAGCTTCATGGGGTAGTTGGAGAGGAGAGGGACGTATTTTAGGGTCTCAAGGGCTGCCGGTAGCTCACTGATCTGTCAAGGCACAGCAAGAACCAGCTGCTCCCTAAAGGATGGGGCACCAAGACAGATAACACAGCAGGGACCTCGCACCAGCCAGGACCCAGTCCCACAGTACCTGAGGCCAGGTTGACCCAGAGATGGTAACCAGGTTCAACCAGGAGTCCGGATCGTCAGGCAAAGCCATGGGGATGAGGCAGGTCTAAACCAAGAGGTCAGTCCTGAAGGCTAGTACCCCCAGGACAATGTTGCTCAGACAGGGACTAAAGGCCCAGGGCTGAGCTTAAATAGGGCTCAGGGGCCCATGGGTAGAGGGAGGGCTCTGAAGACCCCCCCAGGTGGGGCTGGTCGGGGCTGTTAAGGTTTATTAGTGCTCTCAGGGCCGGATTTAGTCCTGAGTAGAGGGAGAGCACGATCATGTTGGGCTGGACTTGCGCTGAAGCATGGAGACTTAAGC